CGATTATTCCAGCGTCAGCATGCCATTCTATGTAGCTTTAAAACATCCATCTATGAATGGTGTAAGAGCACATAACCATACACGTACACATATGCAACACATAACCATACACGCACATATATGCAACACATAACCATACACGTACATATATGCAACACATAACCATACACGTACATATATACAACACATAACCATACACGTACATATATGCAACATATAACCATACACGTACATATATGTAACCATGCAATATGCACATAACCATACACGCATATATGCAACACATAACCATACACGTACATATATGCAACATATAACCATACACGTACATATATGCAACACATAACCATACACGTACATATATGCAACACAGAAATTATTATAATTACTTCTAGAGACACATGGAGGAGCTGTCCTTCTTACAAACATATATTGTATGTATTTATGTCGAATGTCTTAGCGAAAGCTTACGTTAGTAATATTAGTTATTTTTACCATGTTCTATCCGAGTTCTCCTAACTGGATTAGTATAGATAAACTCGGATAAGATCATCTTACTACCTATACATAAATTCTGAATTTTATTGGCTAAACGAAGTTATTTTAATGTGAAAATAGCTTTCATTGGCAATATGGACCAGAAAATGCAAAATGTCGATTGTGTTTAGACACCCCCTGAATTACACTTTTAGAGACCCCAGTGTCCACATGACATATCGAAGATAAATAATCATTGGTAATGTGTGATATGTTGTGACTAATCATCATCTTCTTTTCTTTCACAGACCAGAAAGTATGTTCTGTATTATGGGCTGTCATTGTTTGTCCTGATCGGGTTTATTGGCTTCTTCTACATTGACGCACAGAAACGATCCTGGATTTCACTGATACCAGCTGAAGTAGGCTTTAGATATATCGGGTACAGTTCGGAAAAGAATGACACCAATCTTACAACAGAAACTGTTAAATACGTCCTATATTGGAATGTTCCACTGTCGGGAGGTTTGGAAATGTTCAATGACTGTGACTACAAATGTGAGTTGACAACAGATAAATCAAAGATGGCTTCTCAGAATGCCGTGATATTCCACACTCCATACTTGGGAGGAAATGTTCCTGCTAAATCTCGCGGTCAAGTATGGGTTTATTACGGCGTCGAACCGCCACCTATAAGTCATAATTTGAAGAGATGGCAGCGGGTGTTCAATTGGACAATTAATTACCGTCGAGACTCCGACATATTGTCTCGGTATGGCTCATTCGAGAGCAAACATTTAAACTCTAGAAACAGAAATGCAACTGATATAGGTGAACTGTCCATTCGAAAAAATATGACCGCAGCCTGGTTCGTCGGTAATTGTAATACACACGGAAGGCGGGAGACATATGTGAAAGTACTGCAGAAACACATGGATGTAAGCATTTATGGCCGATGTGGAAATCTGAGGTGTAAAGAAAAGGGGCGAGCGGCTAATTGGGGTGAAAACTGCCTACATAATGTAGAGAAGGATACACGCTACTACCTGTCCTTTGAAAACTCTCTTTGTCGCGATTATATGACAGAGAAAGCTTTTAAAGTCTTCAAAACGCATTCGTTGGTTCCTGTTGTTCGCGGGGGAGCAAACTATTCTATGTACCTCCCTTCGGATACTTTTATCGACAGCTCTAGATTTAAAGATGCTACAGATTTATCTAAATACTTAGTTAAGATGAAAACTGATAAAACAGCTTTCACTCGTTTATTCGAAAATCGAAATCGATACCAGACAAAGTACAACGATAACTGGGGATCGAAACCATTCTGTGAGATATGTAGAAGACTACATAATCCTGAAAAATATTTATGAGGATGTATCGGTCTGGGTTAGAGGAACAGGCGACACGGCGTCTTGCAGGAAGCCTACTGACCTCACGTAATCTATTTAAAACTATAATTTGAACATAAATGTTGTTTAAAACAGAAATTTTACTTACGTATGCACAGTAATGAAATTAACGTACAGCAAAGAAAACCAAACAGCTAGATACAGTCGAATTACAAATATTGCGATGGTGTACAGAGCTAGTTACTAATTAATCAAAAGTCAGAACTTATCTTTTTGTGGAAATCCTCCAAATCAAGAGGAATTCATAGATTGTTCAGAAAACAGGCTATCTGAAGAATACTCCAAGAATTGTTTCCTCACTGGGTATATATAAGTGCAAGTCCACATGGCACTATCACTAAATCACTGTAAAACTCCACACTTCACAGACTGAAGTCTCAAATTTAGCTCACCCAAGGCGTTAATACTTGAAAAGGCAGCTCAGGCTCAGTTCCATCAGGTTTATATACACTAAAGGTTTCTAGGTTTCTAGAAAGGAACTTTCTAGATAATTCTAGACTGGCAGGTACCTAGCTTGTTTACATTTGTCTTTAGAAACATCCGGAAACATAAAAGTAATTCTAATAACCGAGCTTTCTAGATTTTGAAACTTCCGGAAGCACACAGGTCATTCTATTAACCGAGCTTTCTAGAAAAATCTGTCTACTATCTACACATATTGTGACAAATTATTAAAACAAGTTTTTTTAATGAAAACAATCAATATGATATAATGAATGTAAACACAGCACATCTGAATTTGGATTAATACACAGCATTTATATACAACAACAGTAATGCACTATATCGGCTAGAAACTGATTCCAGCCCTCAATGTGTTACGGAGAGGCCATTTTGTCCAGCTGTATCACGAGATTACATTTAACATTAAATTTTGAGTACACATTTCAACAAATTTGTATTCTTTTTCTTTATACACATTTTTACGTCCTCCAGGCATGATTTGAGATCCAATCAGTCCATCCTCGATTGCCAGTGTTTTGCAATGTCTCATTGATTGTTTCTACGGAGGTCCAAAGATGACTATTTCATGGCTCATTTCTGCTTCGAATTAATTAGTATAATTCCAATAATGTTTATGGGTTTCTTTATATCTGGTAGCTCCCGGGAACTTTCCCTAGAGGCCAACTTTTTTTTTTAATTTTAATTTTTTTTGCACATTTTTCAACATGAATGACATTACAAAAAACACACAATGGCATATACCCACACAATCACACAGATCAATACCATCCATCATCATCGTGAAACCTGGTGATGACAAAATCATGATCATCATCATCAGCAGCATCATCTTCATCGTCATCAATATCATCACATCATCATCGTCATCAATCATCATCATCATCATCATCATCATCATCATCATCATCATCATCATCATCATCATCAACATATATACACTGCCAATATTATATTTGATTATGTACACATACACCCACACATACACTCACCATAAACCACGCATGCACACACACACACATTAGGAGAGAGAGAGAGAGAGAGAGAGAGAGAGAGAGAGAGAGAGAGAGAGGGGGGGGGGGGGGGGGGGGGGGGGAAGACAAGAAATGATGATATTTTTGTTGTACAATTGCAAAAACTACTTATTTGAAACTACTAATATGTGCTTCTAAAATATTCGGCTAAGACAGGGGCATCAAGAGATCATGAGTAGTAAAAATTTAAAATTGAATTGTGGAATTTGAAAGACTACAGGTTAAGTAATTTCTCCCATTTTTTCCATTCGTTATCAAATTGTTGTTTTTCTTTGTCCTCTTTACCTTTTACAATATATTTCTGGATTGAATAGTTTTCTTTAATTATATTTATAAGAACATTTATATTTAGAGAGTTGTGAAAGCATCTCATTCTATAAATGTACTGTTTTATGATTATGACAATTTCATTGTCAACACGATTACTGGGAAGAGAGTTCTGAAAGAGAAAGCCAAAAATAAACGATTTTTTGTTTACCGAGAAAGGGATTAATAAAGCTTCTAATAATGTTTTAAAGCACTGAAGTAAGTTTTGAACTTCCTGGCACTCCCATAGAACATGGGTAATTGTCTCAGTTTCAGTATTACAGAAAACACAGAGAGGGGAGATAACTAGTCCTAGTTTGAAAAGTAAAGAATTGGTTACCAAGATGTAATGGGTTACTCTGTACTGAAACCATTGACGTTTTGCACTGTTTGTCACCTGGAATGGGATTCTATGATGCCTAGTCCATGATGAGTGGTCAATATCGTCTAACAGTGAGTTCCATTTTTTGGTGCCTGTTGGAATCAATTCTGATTTATTTAAAAGATTATAAAATAATTTTGAACCTTTTCTATCTCTAAAGAAAATCTGTAAGTTAATTGGTATGTATGGGTAAGTTATATTAAGTACTTTATGTGTATCGTATGAGGAGACATATTTTTTTATAGCCGAGACCAGACCATGATACTCTAGAAAATTAGTGTTTATTCTATATTTCTGAATAAATTCATCAAATGGGTAAAATGTGCCAGTTTCTGAGTTTTTCATCAAATAATTTATGATTATTATGTTACTTTTATACCATTTTTTAAGGAATAGTGTTTTACCTCAACAAGAATTTTACTATTATACCAAATTGGAACTTTAATTAAGTTTTCCTGAAAGTCTTTAATATTATATTTTAACTGCACTTTATACCAGGCATTTAGAACATCCTGCCAAAATTTATTTTTACACTTGTTTATACAAAGCTTTATATATTCAGTACCACTAACAGCAAGAAGATCTGTATCAATATATGACATTAGTATTGCTTGCCATTTCTCTGTTTTTTGGTAAAGTCTCCTAATCCAGGTGAGTTTTAATGCTTGTATGAAAGCAGTGAGGTTAACCATTTTTAATCCACCACTGGTGTGTGACAGAGGTCATTTTTCATCTCAATGCCTCCGCTAGGAATCGAACCCTTGACCCCTAACTTACTAGTCTGACGCTCAATCAATCGAGCTAAAGAGAAGTTCTCTCTAGCCGAGTGGTATATTGCGGCTAGTATTTTACCAGGTTTTTTTTTTTTTTTTTTTTTAGTTATTCAACTTGTGTGTTTTTGTACAATTTCTCGTGCATTATTCACCATGGATGGAGACAAAATTGGTCCAAGCATTCCAGGATCTAGGTGTTACTCCCAGGTGTGATAGCGCTGAGGACTTCAAGCAGTGGATGGCTGGATATGTGAAGCAGCTAGGTGAGGTTAAAGATGAGAAGAAGGATGTTGAGCGCCTAATCGTTACCCAGAATGCCAGATTACCACCATTCAGCGGAGATCCTACAGTGAAGGGGGAGACAACCTACGATCTTTGGCGTTATGAAGTGGAATGTTTGAGGAAGGACAAGACTATCACACCTGAGGCATTAGGACAGCTAGTTAGAAGATCCCTTAGAGGTAATGCTGGTAAGGTGGCCATGCGACTCGGCACAGATGCTTCTATTGCTGATTTACTAAGACAGGTGGAGTGTAATTATGGTGTCGTTGAGGATCAGGAGGCTCTGATGGGCAAGTTTTACAATGCCAGACAAGAAGAGACTGAGGATGTTGCAACATGGGGATATCGTCTCGAGGACTTGCTGACGAAGGCTACTAGGATGGAGCCACTTCCTACAGTTAGACGTAACCAGATGTTACACAGCAGGATCTGGAAAGGTCTTAGACCTAATTTGAAGGATCGTTCCGCAGCAAAGTATGACCTGTGTGCTGTCTACGAAGACTTCAAAGTGGAATTGAGGAGGATAGAGTCAGAGGTGAATGCAGATAAGAGGAAGATGGCTACTGTCAAGGTGGCTTGTGGTGATATGCCTTCTCCCGATGATCAACGATATGAGAAGTTGGAAGGAATGATAAAACAACTTACCTCAGAAGTCCGGGTGTTGAAGTCCAGCAACAGTAAGCCACCGAAACCCAAGCCTCAACAGCATCAGCATCAACAGCAGCAACACAAGCAGCAACAGAGACAGAATTTCCCGCAACAAGACTTCCAGGGAGATGCTGCAGAAGGATATACAGATGAACCTGAGTGCTAGCGCTGTGGACAACTTGGTCACTTACAGTATGGCTGTAGAGTGCGACTGGATCATATCAGGAGACCTAACTTTAGGAGGTCAGGACCTCGTGGACATCAGCAGCAGCATTTAAATGGACAGGGACCAATGGGGAGGGGACACCATTAGGTCAAACAGTACAGAGTCCCAACAAAGATATTTGTCAGGAAAGTGGTGGATTGATTGGATCAGCCAATGAAGTCCAGATTTATGTTGATGGAAACGAGACTCGTGCACTGTTAGACACAGGCTCCACAGTATCGACGGTTGCCAAGTCTTACTATGACTCGAAGCTGTCCCATATTCCTATACAGCCATTAACTTGTGTACTCAACATTGGGTGTGCGGATGGACAATCTCTACCATATGTAGGATTTATAGAGACAACTATAGCTGCTACAGGACTGGCAGGAAGGACATTACAGGACTGTGTTTTACTGGTTGTTCCGGATAGTCCGTACAATTCCAGAGTGCCTTTACTTATAGGAACCAACATCCTCTCAGTTCTTTTGGAGGTTTGTCGTCAACAGCATGGTGTTCGATTCCTACAGGAAGCTGATCTACATACGCCATGGTTCCTAGCGTTTAAATGTCTAAGTTTGATGGAAAAGGACCTAGCGAGGAACAATTTCAGACTTGGGATTGTGAGAAGTTCGGAAGAGAAGAACATCAGTGTACCACCCAACAGTTCTGTGATTGTCAAGTCGTATGTTGATAAGGAGATGCCATATCATCCTACCTGTGCCCTATTACAGCCAGCAAAGGACTGCATCACATCTCAGCCGGACTTGGACTTGAACCCTGCTATGATCAACTATCACTACAAAGGTAATAGGAGTCTACGGGTTCAGCTATTTAACATGTCCACTCACACCATGGTCATCGCACCTCGAGCTGTTCTCTGTGAGATTACTCCAGTCAACATGGAGGATAAAGAAGAAATTATAATCTGTATGATTTTTGTTTTTTTTTTGTTTTGTTTTTTGACGACACCAAAGATATCCGGAATTCCGGTCCGGCATAACGTCAGAATACTACTTCCGGTTTCCGGCATCACTAGTCATAAAGGTTCGAGCAGGGCAGAAATGTTGACAGAGATCGATTTTAGCGGTATAAGTACACTAGAGGAATGTAGAAGGGGTGATCGGAATGTAGGTGGATTGGATGCTTCTCTCTGGCACAGTATCATTAGCACAGCTAAGTTAACTCATGGTTAATTTAAAAGTTCTGTCTATGAATGTAAGGGGTTTGTACTCTGATCAACATAAAAGACGGGATGTGTTCCATTGGTTGAAACAAAAAAGAGCAGATATTGTTTGTTTACAGGAAACTCATTGTACTAATGAAGTTGAAAAAATTATGGGAAAGGGAGTGGGGGTATCAGTGTGTTTTCAATAATATGAACTCTAGATCTGCAGGTGTGGCTATTTTGTTCAGAAATACATTTAGTTACACTATACATGGTAGTAGATTAGACCCAGTAGGTAGGTTTATTATTTTGGATATGTCTATTAATACTAATAGGCTAATACTGACATGTATATATGGGCCCAACCTAGATAAACCTCAGTTTTTTGAAAACATTAGTGAAATGTTGAAAACTTGGGAAGGGTATCCTATGATTATATGTGGGGATTGGAATACAGTTCTGGACAGGGATATGGACACTCATAATATTGTAAGAAATAACAACCCTAAATGTCAGTTAAGCATTCATAATATTATAAATAGTTTTGATCTTGTTGATCCTTGGAGGAATTTTTATCCAGAACAAAAAACTTTCACTTGGAGGCAAAAAACACCTATCCGGCAAAGCAGATTAGATTATTTTTTAACTACAAGTGATATTTTTACAAAAAATTAAAGCCACGGCTATTCTTCCAGGTTACAGAACTGATCATTCGTGTATTTCTTTAGAACTAAATCTAGACAATATACAAAGGGGAAGGGGATATTGGAAGCACAACATCAAACTGTTAGGGGAAGCAGAATATGTCAGGCAGGTTAAAAACTGTATTAATGAAACTATAGATGAGTACATCACAACTGGGGACAAACAGAATCTTGAGTTCACCACTTTTCGGATAAATGGCCAATTATTATTTGAAATATTAAAAATGAAAATACGTACACTAACTATTTCTTTCTCTGTACATAAGGTTGAGAATAGAAAAAGACAGGAGAAAGCTCTAGTGAGTGATATTATCAAATTAGAAGAAATTATTAATAAATACCCCTCTATAGACTCTTACAGAATTGGAAAACAAAAAAACAGACATTGGAAGAAATTCGTAGGGATAAGATAAAGGGTGTTATGTTCAGATCTAAAGCATCATGGTATGAAGATGGTGAGAAAAATACCAATTACTTTTGCAATTTAGAAAAAAGAAATTACATTAACAAAACTATTTCTGAACTAATTACAGAGTCCGGTAATGTTCTTGATGATGTGGAGGATATTTTACAGGAGGACGGTGATCTATACAAATCTGACAGAGGGCCACAGGGTATTGATAACTCAGATTTTTTTAATCATACAGTTAAGTTGAATGAAGGACAGAAAAGGAGTTGTGAGGGATTACTGAATTTAGATGAATTGGCAAAAGCTCTTAAACACATGGATAATGGGAAGAGTCCAGGGTCAGATGGGTTTGGGGCAGAATTTTACAAATTTTTTTGGCGTGATTTAGGAACTCTGCTTTGTAGGTCAGTAAATTATGCATATGAAAATGGGAAACTCTCAGACTTTCAATGTCAAGGTATTATTACATGCTTGCCAAAAGAGGGAAGGGATAGAAGGTATATAAAAAATTGGAGACCCATATCGTTACTAAATGTTGATTATAAAATAGCAGCTGCTGCAATTGCAAATAGGATTAAGCCATTATTACCGGATATCATTAGCAATACTCAAACTGGGTTCATTAAGGGTAGGTTTATTGGGGAAAACACTAGACACTAGATTTAATGCAGCTCTTGGAAGAAAAAAATAAGCCTGGACTATTGTATCTAATTGATTTCGAAAAAGCATTTGATTCGATAGAATGGGATTTCATTGATAAGGCCATGGAAAGTTTTAATTTCGGGGAATCTATTAGAAAATGGTTTAGAGTTTTATATAAGGATTCAAAAAGTTGTGTAATTAATAATGGTCATCTGTCAAACTTCTTCAGTCTTCACCGTGGTTGTCGCCAAGGCGACCCATTGTCACCATATATTTTTATTATAGGTGTTGAAATTTTATCTATATCTCTAAAAACTAATCCTGATGTTAAACCTCTACAGATAGGTGGTAAAACTTTCCTCCTAGGTCAGTATGCAGATGATGCATATCTTTTACTAGATGGCTCAAGTCAATCATTGTATGCAACTGTTGAAGTACTAAGGTTATTTGCTGTCATATCAGGTCTGAAAATTAATGTTTTAAAATCTAATGTTTATTGGTTAGGTAGCAAAAAGTTTTCAGAACAAAAAATCTGTGAAGATCTTAACCTGTCATGGTCTACAAGGAACTTCAAACTGTTAGGAATAGTTTTCTCTCTGAACTTGGAAGATATGGAAAGATTGAACTATTCTAATAAATTAAAAGACACTGAACGTAAATTGAAATTCTGGACCAAAAGAGATCTTTCTTTACTTGGCAGAATAACAGTGGTAAAATCAATAATCATTCCTACATATGTACATATCTTCAGCTCGATCCCAAACCCGTCATCAAAAATTTTAACTCAGCTTAATAGCATACTGTACAAGTTTATATGGAATTATAAAGTTGAAAAAAATTAAGAGAGATACTTTGATTGGTTTACTTGAAGTTGGAGGCCTAAAAATGACTCATATTATTTCTTTTATCAAATACTTGAAATTGAAATGGTTAAAAAGATTACTGGAAAATGAATCAGTACCATGGAAAACTTTAGTTCCAGATATTTTGAAACTTGATCCAAACATTGCTTTTCAGCTGAACTCACACTCTCTTGAAAATATAGGAAAACATATTAAGAACAAGTTTTGGAAAGATGTCATATTTGCCTTAGCAGAGATCCAAAATGAGTCTCATAGTCTAGAAGAATATCTAAATGAAGATTTAATTAACCTACTACCACACAACAAAATGTACCTGGGTATCAGCTGGAAACGGTTTGGCTTTAGTAAAATAAAGGATCTTTTTCAGAATGGTAATTTAAAAAGATATCAGGATGTTCAGGATATTTCAAATTTAGGATTTTTGCAATTTTATTCTCTTGTAAACAAAATTAATCAGAGGTGGAAAGATGAATATAGAAGAAGGAGTTTTTTGGGGGAAAATATAGAATTGTGTGAAACTACCAATGTAATTCATAAAATAAAGACCTCTCCATGCTTGAAATTTATTTACAAAATCTTCTTGGATAAAAAGTTTATTAATCCATTCACGAGTCAGGATAAATGGAGAGCCAAATTAGATCTAAGGGAAAATTTCATATTTGATACTTATGCTTCTGTTTTTCAATATACTAGAGAAACTAAACTACAGGCCTTTCAGTATAAGATACATCACAGAATTTTACCTACTAAGTCCTTTTTATTTAAAATCGATATAGAACAAGATAATTTATGTTCATTCTGCAATAGAGAGGAAGAAACAGTGGAACACATTCTATACTATTGTTATTATACAAATGAATTATTAGAAGAATTTATTATGTGGTACTCTGAAAATGATAATACCCAGAATGATCTTGTAGTAAATGCCACTGATGTAATATTTGGTAATGCAAACTTTAGTCAAAGATTAAACCACTTCCTCTTAATGTTGAAATTTCACATTTATTCATGTAAATTTAAAAATAAACTACCATCCTTCCAAGCATGTAAACTGTATTTCACTCAGGTTTTGAAAGTAGAAAAATATATTGCAAAAAAACATAATTTATAATCAAAATTTCAAAATAAGTGGGGGATATTCACAATAATTCTAAACAATTAAAACAAATAATCCG